CTATGTTATGTTTGCACCAACTTGGAGATATCTGTGTCTGCATGATGCACCCATACAGTCATGGATTCACCTTGCTAAGGCCTTATTCATGCAGGACTATGGACCAGTCAGTAACCCCCACTAATTGCTAGGGAAAAGTCTGTGCAATTTGTGAGAGGTATACTGGGCTGCACTGAAAACCTTCTTGCTTTGGTCACTAGCACTTTGTAAGGAAGACAGCAACTTGTCTGCAAACACTGGCAAAGTATTCACCAAATTCTAGTATAACTGGGTAAAGTATGATGGAAACCATAAATGGAGACTGTTCATCTTAAAGTCAAAATTGGGCCTTTGAAATGTGTTAGTTGCAGCAGTGAGGCCCAACCTTTACTCTGAAGGTGAACAGTCTCTGTTTCCAGCTTGCATTGCACTTCTTCAATTTTCTGAACAGGTTGGAGAATAAATGGTGGATATTTGTAGACAAGCTGACGTCCTCCATGGAAACTACAGGTGACCCCAGCAAAATGCTAGTGACCAAAACAATCACAAAAAGGGCTTTGGTGCAGCACCTTTGTTGGGACCAATTTCAACTAGCAGCAGCCAACGAATTGGGCAATATACCAAATTTTTCCCTAGTGATTGGAGATTTCTAGAGGTTCACTTACTGGTCTCTAGATCTAGGTGTTTGATGCCTAACCAAGTTAATACCATGATTCATAGTCTATTAAAGTTTCTCGAGTGACATCCTACACACATTGATCAAGAGTTGTCAGTTGTATTACACATGTTACAACCATGGTTGCTAGGGAAATGTGTTTTACCCTGACTAGATGGCAGCGGCAACAGTGGCTGTTGCTGAGAGAGATAAGTTCTGGGTCCTGGGGATAGCTTCGGTTGTTATTTCCACAGTTGCCTATAGTTTTTTCCTGTGTCTACAAACACTTGTTAACTTCTAGCTGAGCAATATAAAAACTTTAAAAACTGTAACACAAACCAGAAGAAGAAGAAGAAGAAGGTTCATCTTCAAAGTAAAAGTTGAGCCTCAGTGCTGCAGCCAACATGTTTCAATTTTTACTTTGAGGACAGATGGTCTCCATTTCTGGTTTGTGTTGCACTTTTTCAGGTTTTACTACAGCTCAGCTAGTAGTTTACAAGTGTTTGTAGACAAACATGAAAAACTTTTCACAGTTTAACTGCAGCTCAGGGACTAGCTGGCCATTGTGTGTAGACAATTCTGCCACTTCCATTCAAACCACGATTGCAGCAGTATGCTAGTATGCTTGCTAACCAGTTGGGGAATACACATTTTTTGCTAGCAACCATTGTTTGAAAGGGGGTCACTGGCAGGTCTGTTGGCCTGCGTGACTGGGGCTTTAACAATCATTTTGCCAGCGACTGCCATCAACCTCCAGCAACTACCCATAACCAGTCAGGCAATACTAATTTTCCCCTCACGACGAAAGATTACTGGATGGTCACAGACAGTTCTCTAGGCCGGTGTGATTGGGGCCTTATTCATACCATGACTGTCACATGTCCAAAATGATAGACAAGTTAACATCAGAGGGTTAATCACATGTCTGCAAAACATCAAAAGGACTGACTTTCTTTTGGAATTAGCCTCAAGTTGTTATTTGAGCAACTGCAGTTTTTGGCACTCCCACACTGGCTTAATTTTTGAGCCCCAAAAGTTGGTAATACTTGATGACTTGTCACTGATGGTATTTATTTAACATTATCAGGAGAAAGACATTGTTTATTCATCAAACCAGTCGACTTTGGTCAATTAGCAACTTTAACATTTTGATAATGCACATAGGACAATGACAACAAAAGGTTTATGGTCTGTATGAAATAAATAGCAACTTTGCCCATTTACAGCTTGGCTGAATAAAACAAAAACAAGAGGGTTAATCTTCATATTAAAAAGGTATACAGATGAGCTGTGATACTCATGAACTCACTAATTCCTCAACAAAAATGCTCTCCTTTTTAAATAAAGCTTTTCAGTTTTAATATGTACCTTCAAGAGCCTGTTATAGTTAAATAAATAGAATGCTTTCCATTTTTAACATGCACATCCAATTTGCCTGGGGAAAGTATTTACACTTCACTGATCCTACTTGTCCACCAAATTCTCCACTTTTGTCTCAGCTAAACAGTTCTTTCTCTCATACATACACAAATGTACAGTCACTCTTGCAGACATGCTGCACCTATTTACTATTAACACAATATCTAAACCTATGGAAAGTGATCAAAATGCTAACGGTGAACATGGAATCCCATGTAGTGTGAAAGAAGAAACAGTCCAAACACCACATCTTAACTGGGGGAGGAAGGGAGGGAGGGGGGAGCTTACAAAAACTTTTTGTTTACAATTGATCATGCACTGTATAAATTCTTTGTGTTATTTGGCTTGAGAGTGTGTAATCAGTGGCTTCAATATCTACTTATTTCCTTTAAGTGAACAAAGAAAAGAGTAATATTTCCTGTGACAAATAAGCAATCCTACCAAATAATCTCTAACAATATTTAAGTCTTTCCCCCAGGAATCGTCACTGTCCTACAATAAGTGGTTTTACTATCTTTTCAGTAAGCTTCCACACATAACCAGGAGCTACTGCAAGGAGGTGTTTCTTCTGTCATGTCCATGTTAGCGTAGGTCCTGGCCATCCATCGCTCTTCAGGTTGAGATGGGCAGTTTATTCTGCGCTAATGTTAGCTTCCTCTTCTGTTTTCATGACGCAAAATAAGAGTTCTGCATGGAGTAGAGGCGGTCGATGGGGTTCCCCACGCGGGCCTGCAAGGAGTTGACTTCTGACGATGCCATGAAGCAGTCACTGAGGCTGGTTAAGGACGTGTCACTGTCTATGTCATGGAATGCAGAATCATTACCTGCAGAGAGCGGATACGGAAAAAGCCGTCAGGATTCAGAGGCAAAGGCGTCATTCAAAGAGCACAACACCCTACTCTGGCTGTGAAATCGGTGTAATCTTGTATTTGAGATTTATAGCAGCGTTGGGAAATTATAATTACTAATAGTCCCTTTGAGAAACTGCTGTTATGTGTCATCACAAATGTGAGAACTGTTTTGTTAGATATCATCAAAGCTCACTTTTTGCTGCGCTCACTGGGACAATTGCGGTCTGTGAGGGAGCATGTAAACAAGGGGCATCCTCCTAAAAGATCTGGTTAATAGCAACTGTTTACGCCTTTCATAAAACCTCAACATGTTATTTCTCTGGAGGGAATAGTTAACTTTATTACACTCTGGATCTTAATGATAGTGTTGCACAAAATGGGGACAGTGTTTTGAGACATATCTTTTAATGCCTTGCCAATATTGTTCTTTTCCCCAAACCAAAGGAGAGTGATGAGACTGGGGATTTGGTTCTTACTACCGAAGAGAACTAAATGGAGGCAAATTATAAGGAAGTTATGAACTTCAGGAAATGGTCCCTCTGGGACATGTTGAGGACATCGCTCGAAAATGTGTTATTCCAGTTACATCCTGTGGACTAACACTTGATTGACTGATTTTTTCTTTTTTCTTTTCCCCCCTCCCGCCTTTGTTTGCGCTCTAATTCCTTCCTTTATCAAACAGAAATCTGAGACTTGTTGTTTTCCAATTCTGATTCATTAGCTCACACGGTCTTCAATCATTATTTGCAGTGCATTTTATCTTAAGCTGCCCACATAGACCACATGTTTTTACCAACATTCGGAAACATCATCAGTAACGGGGCTGGGGGCAAGGAGTTAAAACCATATTAAACAGATTTGAAATTACACTTCAAAACCCAACGGCTTATGAGAACACTTGTGTTATCTCATGTGGGAGGAGAAGCTGCTCGTTCTTCTCTGTGAGCAACTTAAATCAGGGGGCTGTGGCCTGAGCACATGTCCCACACTGGGGAGCTTTGAGGTTGATCAAGGGACAGGCATGTGTGCGCTTTGTAAGCAGCAGTGGGGTTTTTGGGGGGTGTAGTAGTGTGTGTGTGTAAGGGAGGGGTGGGGGGTGGGGTAGATGCTCACCATATGGGTTCATATGGTCCCCGGGCATCTGTGGGGGGGTGAGCCCCTGTTGGAACGGGTCTGTGCTGTAACCATTCTGATCCATGGCGACCAGCTGCTGCTGCGGCGGAGCCAGCGGTGTGAAGGAGTTCATCATCCCTTCCATTCGATTAGACATCACCTCTGCAAGGCAATGAAAGCAAAGGGGGAAAGTTAATACAGCCAACAAGAAGACTTCAGATGAGTCTGCAAAATATTAAATGCCACTACGCAAACAGAGAGCTGGTGACGCTGACCAAGAGAAAACTACAGAGTAGGTACTTCCTGATAGATTCCTATTTGTACCCCAAATATGTGGATTGCTCGCCCTTGTTGTTTTTATGGAAACATACGGTAGTCCTCGCTGTGGCTTCTCTCCCATTTCCCTCTACAAACAATGCTCTTGGCTAACTGAATGTGGGACACAAAGTTCTTGTGGCTTCATCACTGGAGCCCATCCCCATTCGCTTTCCTTTATAGTGGTTAGGTGAAATGATGATGATTCATTTCATTTGGCTTCCAAACTGAATTTCCATTTTACCCTTCATGTGAAGTGCCCTTGTTTACACAGTGACATATTTGTAATTTGTAATTCAGCATCAGTAGCAAATACAGCTTTGATTAGAGCGCAGCGTAAGCGAGAGAAGAAAGGTTCCTGTTTTGAGATTAAGCAATTGGTACACCTTCTCCCTATTCCGATGTCAACATCAACAACAAACTATTGCCGCGATACAAACACTCTTGACCTACTTGGAGATATGTACAAATATCACTTTAAGCTTGGGGCTGCCGGAGACAATGGGCCTCCATTGTGTTTGCAGGGTATGTGGAGCATCGTACCTTGGCCAAGTCTTTGAGAATTCTGTTGTTCTTGTTGTTGCTGCTGTCTTCTTGCCAACTTCTTCATCTGAAACGAAGGAGTCAAAGTTGTGAGGAACTCCCAAAACTAACATGCTCTCTTTAATTTAAAAAGGATGCTCCTCGCTCTTCACCCTTGAATGAACTGCGTAAAATCTGTATCTGAGCGCACTTCATTGTCAAATATCAAAGGTTTTCACAAGATAATCATCAGAAAAGAGGAGGGCGTAGACATTTAATGCAAGAGTGAGCTAGATTTGCAGCTCCTTGCTCTTTTGCATTTGCAAAAGGAATGCAGTGATAAGTTTAACACACATAGTTGTGGTGATTTACTAGCTGAACTCTAAAATGGACCGAAGCTGCTTTTTTTGGGAGTGGGTAGGGTAAGGACACAAAATGCAATTTGTTTTGTGGTATTTGCTCTCACCTTAGCTCTCTGGTTCTGAAACCACACCTGGACCACCCGAACACTGAGTCCTGTCTCTGCAGCCAGAGTCTCCCTCACCTGAAAATCCAAACAAAATACTGTGAGCATCACACAAAAAACCGAAACGCTCCCTCTGAAATCCCGTTCCGCCTTAACACAACTGCCACAGTTCCTAACAGCCGCACTGCCTCTTTGATTTGCTTTTAAGTCAATGCTGACTGAATGCAGTGGTCTTTTTGGACCTACTGGTTATTGCCGCTTCAAAGTTCGGACCAAGTGCAGCGCCTGTTTTAGGGCCCGGGCTATGGAGGGAGTTCTCCTATCTCAGTGTGACATTTGGTGCAGACGGAGTGCGTTACACCAGACTGCCTCAGTTAACACAGAACAGAATGCTGCTTGCCACTTCAAAGCTCAGCTTTGAGGTGGGGGAGATTTTTTTAATTTGAGAATTTTATTTGTCAAACTACTGTAGGGCTCGTGGTTCGCATCTCAACTTCTATCTAAACCCTTACCAGGGAACTAAAAAAACATAAATCTCAGATTTTCTTTACTCAGTTGCAGCTGGTTATTAAAGCTTTGTCTTACCTTTCTGCAGGGCTTTGAAGAGACCTCAAAAGAAGCCTTAAAGGCCCGTCTCTGTTGAGTGGTCAGAATGGTTCGTGGTCTTTTGGGCCTCCTTGGATCCTTGCTGTCATCCCCCTTCCCCTGGCTCCCTATGCCTTTCTCTGGCTTGATGTCCAACTCCTCATCGTCACTTTTCTCTGTAAAGAGAATCAGTTCTCTGTATCATGAGCACAAGCTTGAACTGGCTACACCCTTATTTTTTTTGTCTATGACAGTCTGCTGATAAATATATTTTCATTCTTCCCTATTTCAAGAGATTCACACACCACAAGTGCCTAATCAAAGGAGACACATGTGTTTTTGATACATTATCAATTTATTACAAAAGGAAAAGGCCTCATGTATGATTAGACCTACAGACATCTATGGAAAGCACAGTGAAATATGCACATTTGTCACTGAACTGGACACAATGTCACTAGTAAATTATTACTCTCAGCTTTCTCTGATTTACACAGAATCAATCTCTGATAAGAGTACTACATCAAGTGCAACATGAAACAGGCAATGAGTACATATGGGAAATGCATCTCCTGCAACACAATATGTAAGATAGTCTCGATTCAAACTTAACCTTAAAATAATGACGGAATTTATACACTTTGCTAAACTTTAACTGTCAAGGGCAGGATATTAAAATCTGGGTCAGTAAAATTGTTGTCATTTATATAAATATATATGTGTGTTCAGACGTTAAATTGGGACAGAGCTGTCTGTTGGGAAGCCCCACCGTATTCACTTTTCACTGTTATCAGGGAATATTATGACAAGCACCCACTGATATTGCTTAGGCGAGATAATGTCCATTTTGCTTCACAGTTTTTACTTGTTCCAGTGAAGTCACTTATCTTTCTGATGCAGCAACCCACTGCACTCATGGTGTCACAGACTATATAATAATATAACAGTTATTTAAATAAAATGCAACATGAACAACTGTAAACATAATGGAACAAAAAGAAGGACTATATTTCACAGAACTTGAATTTGTATTTTTCTGTCTAATTCTTTAAAGAATAGCAACAATTTCATCACTAATTTATTTACACCATTAGCTCTATCTGGATTTAGAGTAATTAAAATTGAGCAAAATATAAATAATTAATGTTTCATAGAGTTTTCCGTTTCCTGAGACCTGATTTTGTTTAATAACTGAAAATAATTGACCTGCTAATCTGCTTCCACAACCTATGAGTTAATTATACTAAATGCTATTTAAAAAGAGGCAGGCCCACTGAGTAAAGAAGCATTTCCATCAAGCTAAGCTAAACTTTGAAGCCAGCAAGCATGGTTTGAACAGAGTATCAGACCAACTCAAATAAGACAGTAGTTTGAAAGCTAATTTACTGAATTGCAAGTTGTAATAGGCTAAATATCTGCACATGATGCAATATTATATAATGTAACACCACATAATGCTTTATACATAAACTGCTTTGGGCTGGTCACATCCTTTAGCTGATTGCTAGTAGATGATGAAAAAACAAAAAACAAATGACAATAGAATTTTTATTATTCAGTTATTACATTTAATATATTTTTTTCATATGAGGCTAAAAGAAAGTGTTTACAAATCAAAACTACAATTGCTGTTAACAAACCCCAATGACTTCAGGGCGCAGGCGCATGCTTGATGGCTTATTGTCTCCTGTCATCTGGTTCTGATATGTAACCAATGAAAACCTACATTTCATCTGCCACATGCCGAGGTTAACCTCTATTCATGTCAACATTTTCTCCATCTTTAAATTCTGAGACATGCACAAAAGACATGCCTGTGCGATACACTGGGATACAAGCAAACGAGGAAGACGTGGAGCAAATATTCCCACAAGTTGACAAAAGTTGACACAGGCACAGATGTATTTGACAAATTCCCTGCTTTTGTGCATGTTTAAATGCGAGCCAGATGGTAGTGAACAGCGAGGCTTGGCAAGATGCCTCAATGTGTATGGAGGCTATAGGAGAGGAACACTAGAGCTGATAAGAGTGGAGGTGCAGGCTTTCTGCAGAAAGGCCTCAAATCCCTCTGTCACTCACCGTGATACAGTGATTTAATTCTTTCCAGCACCAGATCCTGCCCACGCATGGAGCACCATTAATACAGGGTGGCTTGGCTTTGTCCTGCTTCCACTTCCTACTGTATCATAAACTTACGCTCCCTGCTCTAATGAATGCTACAAAATCAGCCACTGAAAAGCTGCAGATGGAGCTACGCTAGACTTTTTACGGCCTGGGCTGTAAGCAAGACCTCAGATGTCAGATGTCAATACATCTAGTATCTAGAACTGCTTTAATCCTTTGCTATTGACAAAACTAAAACTAAATCCAGTAAGATTCAGAACCAGGTTCCTCGTGGAGGACGTCTTAGGTGGCCACAGCTGTGATGGGACAGAGCATACAGAATACAACACCCTGGTGCCATTTGACGATCGCACCACAGTGTCGTTCTCACTCTTGTGTGAGAGGGTGCAGAAGGCTCACCTGAGTCTGAGTCATCCGGGCTGACCGAGCTGAGTAAGTCTTTCTCCCTCTCGTAGTCAATCTTGCAAAGCAGCTGACCCTCCTTCAGAACAAACTCATCGCCCTTCCTCAGCTGGCGGTCGCACACGCAGCAGCAAAAGCAGTTCAGGTGGTAGACGCACTCCAGAGCACGCATCACAAACTCTGTGGGGGCGATTTTCTCCATGCAGCCGCTGCACTTGGTTGCAAACAACCTATAAAGAAATAAAAGAGAATATGGTAGGAAGTGTGGTGATTTAAACAGAACACCCAAACCGAGTTTTGCTGTTCAAAGCAGCACTTGTGAAAAAGATAAAAATAACACAAGTAAAAAAACATGCATTTTCTAAATGGAGGTATTTATTGTTAAGGGGGAAAGAAAATCCAAAGCTACGCGACCCTGTGTTAAAAAGTGATTGCCCCATAAGCCTAATAACTGGATGCAGTCAAGCATCTTTTACAGCGTTGTGCAGGAATTTTGACCCACTCTTCTTTGCAGAATTGTTGTAATTCAGCCACATTGAAGGGTTTCTGAGCATTAACTGGCTTTTTAAGGTCGTGCCACAGCATCTCAATCGGATTCAGGTTAGGGCTTAGTCACTCCAAAGTTTTTTTAAGCCATTCAGAGGTGGACTTGCTGGTGTGTTTTGGTTACCTTTGTCTATCATTAAATTTTGTTGGATAACCGGAAACATCTAAAGTGTGACAAATATGCAAAACACTAGGAAATCAGTAAGGGGGCAAACACTATTTCACACCACTGTATACTTATATCTGGTTTGATTATGACTGTTTCAGTATCTTGGTCCTGTGTAGTGTCCAGCTCATTTGGCCTTACAAAATATTTAACAATAGCCTGGAAGGCTTTATGACAAATTATTATTCACACTTCCATAAGCATAGTCCCATCTAGCCCGTTTTGCCAGGGAACTTCTATAAACCTCACCAAAACAAAGGCTCGAAACCAAACATAACAAATCAGGCTTCTTCAATTGGATCTTATCAAACGAATAGTTTGTCTAATCACTGCGCAAAGGACAATGAAACACAAAATGTAATCCATCCTCGGCAACACCAACATAAAAAAGAAATAGACACTGCTTTATATATCTGCCTACTTTAATTGCCAATTGTAAAGTTCTACTTCTTAACTTTTGCATTCGGTGTTAATTAGATTTTTCTGCATTGTAATCATCTTTAATTTGAATGTAATTTCTAAGCGTTGGTTTCCCTCCACCGTTCCTTATATCTTAAGATTTATTTGAAAGTATTTATGTGCCACTTCAAGTTATCTCAACAAACATAATTTAAATTTGGAAACTGAAAATATTGCAGGGACCTCTCTCACCCGACAGTAATTACGTGCACGATGAGAGTTGAAGCTATTCTTCCTCAGGGACCTGAATGTTCAACAGGTCTTACCAACTTACATCTCTGCCTATCTGCTAATTGTCCAGGGTTACAGTGTTTGCCGTGCAACGAAAGAGGTGCCTCCTTTGGCAGCTAGTCATCTGTTAAAATTTTAGGCTGAGCCCAGCCTTGCATCATTCCAAGTGAGCTCAGTCATGGGGACTGACCCCAACCCCCTCACAAGCCTGACCAAACCCCCCCCCCCCAAAAAAAAAAAACATGCTCCAGTGCAGCAACTACTAAACCCTGATGATCTTAATCAAGCCTTTGTTGGCAGTTTATGCATTTCTTTCATATCCACACAATGCTCTATATGCATCAGATATCATATCATGATTCATTGCTGGTTAGTGGGCCTGGTCTGTCTGTATCTCATCTTACCGTCTAATATCGTGCCTCTGTGGCGCAACACTGCCTCTATCACCATTTCCTAGACAACACTTCCATCTTCTTTTATGTGCTTTCAGGAAGATGTTTGCATTGTTTTATTGGTGACTGAGTGGCATTTAATTTGCCCTCCGTTGTTTAGAAGAAGCCACATTAAATGGAGCAAGGAGGCAGGGAGTGTGGTTGATCTTGTCCAGCCGTAAAGCTGGATTTATTAGTGGCCTCTTTGTTTGCCCTGGTCTGGAAGACAGCTGGCAACCGCCTATCTATTTGTGGTGAACATCTATTTCATTGTGCAAGGCAGGGAGGTAGTGAGAGGAGCAATTGACATCATCTGCTGGTTCGGGACGGGGTTGAGCGATAGTGATGAATATAATGTGTAAATATGAGAAGAGGGGAAACCAAAGGGTGGTTTTGTTATGGTAATGGTGTTATAGGTACTGATTGAGTAGTGATATGGTGTGTGCGTGCGTGTGTGTGTTCACACATGTAAATGCATTTGTATGAACAGCTGTGTGCACGCTGGTAGCAAGTTTGGTTTTTGTTGTTGCCTCTGCAGCTTTCTAAAATAATTGCTTCACTGCTGCTCATCAGATCGCAATCGGGAGAGCTACATTTTATAACATCGTAATCACTTCACAACAATTAATAGCCTATTTTACTAGTTTCGAGATATCCATCCATCTATTCATCATAATGAGCATTACAACCTGGATCCATAAGCAAAGGACGGTTAGACAGAGCATCTTCTTTTCTTTATAAAACAACAGAGATGTCAGCCCAGGCACTCTCTGGGTTCATAAAATCCTTTAATCTTTCATTTATTACAATAAGTTAAGAAGATTATTATTGAACTATGGAAAAACCTCTAGGATAATCCCCTGGAAAAGAAATTTCGGCATGTTTCTCAAACAAACATGGATCTTGTTTAACTGACCTGCCAACCTGGATCGGTTTTCTAAACAAACTACCCAGTTTGGCTTATAAAAAATAAATTAGAAAAAACATTTAGAACATTAGAAAACATTTTAAACACTGACTTATTCCCGCAAACGGCGCATTAATAGGCCAGTTTCTAGGTTTTAGAAGGATCGTTATAGGCTGGGCTCATCTTAAGGAAGCGATGAGTTTGTCAAGACAAAGTTCCCAGCTCTAAGTCTGTTTGGCTAAAGGTTGCCAGCTTAGGCTCAGAGAGAGCGCAAAAAGTTGAGGAAATGACTTATTAGCGCGGTTTTGATATGTCCAGCACTCCGTATTCACCTACGACCGCTCTCTAAAATCTTCTCATCTAGATGAAAACATTCTCATTCAGCCCTCTTTCCTTTCTTCTTTCTCCTTTGCCGAGTCTAATCTTGTAAGCCATTATTTTTCTATTTCCCCTCTCTGTCACTTTGCATTATTTTTGCTGCTGTAATTCCCATTCGTCCCTTCTGGAATCTTCCTGTCCTGCTTTGTCCTCGGGTCTAATCCGGACTTTCTGCCTGTTTTCAGTCCCCGGTCCCCTTTCTCAGTGGGGTTCAGATGGAAAAGCCATGCATGACGCCCCTTCTATGGCAACCACACCTCCACAGGAAGGCAACGCCGACTTTTCGGATGGGCAGAGAAGGCCTTTGAGAAGCTGGCAGCAGAAGTAAATCCTTCTCTAAGGAACAAGGAGAATTAGCAGGGAGCAGTGGACTAGGGATTTAACCCTACCCCTCTCCTTTGAAAGGCACAGTCAGTCCCACTCCTGCGGCTAGCCACAATCAAACAGAGGAGGAGTGGGGAGGTGGCAGCGGAGAACACAAACTCCCTGAATGACACAAGCAGTGGATTGTGGAGGAGCCTAATCCCACTTTAATACCTTTCCAAGTTCAGCTGCTAAAGAATGCTCTTTAAAACAACACCACTGTGTGAGCAGTGAAGGTTGACCAGAGGGAGGCACGCCATTCAACCTCCCTAACATTACCTGATTAGTGGTTTGAGGAACAGGCCGCTGCCAACAGGAGACAGAGAGGGAGATGTAAATGATTATTTTATATATAGAGAGAAAAACATATCAACAGGCGGTATTTAACTGGAAACTGCACCAGGAAAGAGACACCGCTCCCTGCACTGATCTACAGGGATATTAAAGATATCAAAGAAGATGTAGCTGCGACTGAAAATCAGACCTGAACTGATTTAAGTGATCAATTACCACTTTGTCCCTCTAGCTGATCCCAGTGACCAATCATATTAAAGCTTGTATCCACCTAAAATCCACTTTCTGGACGTTGAGCTGCTTTCGGTAACTTGACTCCCAGTGTTGCAGAGGTGAACCAGCATCAGTATAAAAAGACACCACAAAGGGGACCACCAGCGCGACAGTCGCGTCCCGGCTCTCGCCTTTCCTCCTCCCACACCTGAGCGCACAGATCAAGTGATGAGACCCTCCCGTGTGGATCAATGGCCGCATCTCAAGCCAAGAGGACTGTCAATATTTACCCAGGCCTCCCCGGGACGGGACTCATAAATGAAAAGAAGAGGCCATCTCAGCACATACCTCACTCCCGGAGGAATCATTACATCCCTCTTTTTAATCCTGTGTCCACATACCTGTAATCCCTTGTCTGTTCTTTTTTTTTTCTAAGGATGTCGCTCTCTCTCCGTGACAGATTATCACACTGCTGAGGCTTGTAAGGCTTGCAAGAAAATGCACAAAATGCAGCATCAACAACAGCAGATAGGACCCAACCCCCCAACCCCTCCACACACACACAAAAAGAACAATTATAAAGTGGGCAAAGGCCAGAAACAAGTGAACACTTAAAGTGAGTAAAGTGCAGCTGAGAAACGTCGGCCTCTGTGTCGTTCATCTTCTATCCTTTCTGTTTTTGCAAGCGCTTTGGAGAACTATCCACGCTCCCTTTGAGCAGATTATGGGCAACTTAAAGTGTGACAACATCTTAAGCTCTCACCACATGTTGCCAGTGATTGCCCTTCTACAGACATTACATTTAATGCTTCTGCTGCAGTGATAAGCATCAGGAGGACTGGATGGGATAAAAGGAAACCAGAAGAATAAGAGAGAAGGTTGGAGGGGGGCAGAGGGGATGAGTATGGAGCTGCTTATGCTGCTTGATAATCACGCTACATTTAGCAACACGTGCAATAGTCTCACCTAACTCCCCTTTTGCTATTGAACAACACTCTGAGAGACAGCAGAAGAATTTAGGAAAGAACAGCCAGAGCTATTATGTCACCACAGCCCTTCAAAGACAGAAGGGATGAGGATTATCCCGGCAGCAGCTGTAAGCTATTACTTTGAAGATGGGCTCTCGTGTTTGGGCAGGAAACCTGTGGCCATGCCAATCATGCAGAGGTGAGAGATGAGGCCTGTGAGGCAGGTCAGGAAAGGGCCCTCCGGACGGGATGGAGCGAATGACTTACTGGCTAA